GAAAGGAAGATGTAACAGCATCATCTTGTGTTTTAGCCAGATATTTTTCCTCAACATTTCCCCATCTCTACACCGAGGGAAAAAAACAAATGTTGAGTCTTTTTTTTTTTTCCCCCTTCCTTCTATTTGAAATGTTAAGAGCCCTTCACACAAAGCAACTCAAGTGCAAAGGAATTAATTGGGGAAATTAGATTGTGTTGTATTTCTGGCATTTTCTCAGAAATAGTAATTGCCCTAATTCTCCACCCTGCCAAGACCTCCTCCCGCACCCTGTTTCCCCCCTCTTCTTTTCCTCACTGTCTACCTGTCTTTCTCCTGCTTGAGTTGCTGTTTTCATGCTGTTGCCATTTATTTCATTTCAGTAATAAGAAGGATGTGGCAGGTGAAGAGCTCTCGCAATCTTGTGACATCTTCTTTGAAGCACAGGCACAAAAGAGCAGTTTGTTTTTGGGAAATAAAAACTGCCTGCTATGGTACTTGACCTCCATGCTTATGTCTCCTCCTGCTTGGGATATGTTGCTGCTGCATTGCAAGTCATTTGGCTCAGATTTTTTGTTTAATATAGTCTCATTGTTCACCTAAATACTGACCTCCACGGTTAACCCCTCTATCTTCCCCCCAAACCATCCAAACCCTCACACACTGAGAGCTAATCAAACTTATGATCTTCCAATCAAGCTCAGCCCCATTCCCAGACATTTGAAGTGAGGCTTTTGCTTTCTCCCAACCATTGGACTGAGCTCCAGAGAGCTGGGAGTTCAAAGCCTCTTCAGTTTAGCTTCCTGATGGTTTTTAACTCCTGACCTTCCATTTGCGGAGGTCATAGATGTAACCAAATAGGGAGGAATTGTTGATTATTCAGTATTTCACAACCTAAAACACCTGGTGATGTTCATAGCATGTTATAATCCAATGGAGATACTACAGTGGTTAGAAAAGTGTTGGGACTCCTTGTCTCAGGAGACGGTAGGTGCCACCAGCTGAGATGGGCTGAAAAAGTGATTGAATGGAATTGTGGAAGAAAAGTAATCTTTGAGGAGCTAGCAAACACAACATACTTCCCCTGTTTCAGGAAATCCCTGTGCCACTGGATTTACTGAGGACCGGAAGTCTATTGTGGCGCATATGCTGCGGGCTTTTCTGTTTCCATACTCTCCCCTGTGCATCTCTGACTGAGGTCAGTGTCCCAGCTGACTGGGCTTTAGCTGTTCTTAAAAGTTTTCCAGGCTGATCTCTGCTTTCCTGGGAGCTGGGGAGAGTATTGGGAGTAAAATGCTGGACCCAGCTGAGGGGTAGTGACACCATCTCCACGAAGTCGGAGATCCAGTTCAGTTCAGAAAGCTGGGATTGTTTTTCGACGTAGCCAAACTACCCAAGCCTGTTCGCCTCTGCTGTGAAAACTTGAGACAGCAAGTTTCCTGCAGGGATTTCAGAAGCCCTTTCCGTCAAAACAATTCCCTTCCCATAAAACTTAACTAAGGAGGGCAGGGCTCTCTTCCATTTTCAGTGGACCCTGCGTGCAGCCAACAGATCCAGAGAGGGAAGAGAAGCTACTTGTGATCCCCACCCATCTTCAAGTAGTTCCCTACCTGCATCCTTGACTGTGAAACTGTTTTTACCCCTGCTTTAATTTGTGTTGTCCAAGTGACCATCCACCTGCTAGAGGCTGCCTGTATACGATGCGCTCCCTTCCTCCCGCTGTCCCCGCTCTGAACATCCCATTAGCCTGAAAGCTGTAAGTTGTGTGGAAAAGAGCACAGTGCCCAGTGTTGAGACAGAGAGAGACTCCTGTGATGGAGATCTCTCCAAAACATGTTCCTCTGTCGTGTCACCAGAAACAAGGAAGGATTTTGTACAGAGCAGGCCAGAGAAGTTCATGGCTCCTGGGTTGTACCAAGGTGGCCTGATTTAAACCGTAGCTAGAGCAGAAGAAGGTGGAGAACCATATGCCAGCAAGCTTCATCATTCTAGCCCCAGGTGGACCAGTAACAGTGTGTGTGCTCCTGAGAATACTGTAATGAAACATTCACGCTTTGGAAGGAGCACTGCCACTTACAGTCGAGGGAGACTTGGATGTGTAAAACACTCCCCTCTCACCTTCTCTAGGTTGTTGGACCCATTTCCCCACTGCATCCCAGCTGGCCCGGGACTTCCTCCTGCTTTCCCGCCTGCAGGACCATGATCTCAGCTCTCCTTTACCATGGGGACTGTCATGAGATCACATATCGGTCAGGAAAGGTGGGGAGCATCCCCAAACTCAGTGTGATCAGCAAAAGAACTGGAGCCAGAGAAGTTCTAAACCAGTTTAGTGTGAGCAGAGATAAATTATGCTTTGCCTCAAGACAAACTGAAGACCTCCCTAGAAAAATTAAGGTGCAAATATCTTCATCATCCTCCTTAAGATGTTTGCAAGGAAAGAAATCATTGCCTTTCTTTTTTACCCCTGATTCCTGCATGGTCAGAGTTTCTGCAGGCTTTCCCCTCCTGATCCCCTTCTGTTTCATAGTCCTGCCTCTCTCACAGCCGCAGCGAGCTCCTTCTCTACGCCAGCTGGATGGAGAAAGCCCCTATTTGCAAGCAGCTGTCTTTAATAAACAGACTGTTTAGGGCTGGGCTGTCAAAGAGACCGTGTTCAATGTACAATCAAGGGGCAACGATGCACAAAATTACACACACACACAAAATAGGATCTTTTCTCCGTGTGTGTTGAGCTTTGAAGTGATTCCACCTCTCTCATCCCCATCCAATTATATGGGCAATACATAAGACTGCTAAAGGAATTAGTGAGGGAAACCTTTACACTGCCTAATCAATATCGTTCTGCTCAGTACAAGGCATCTCCAAGGCTCTGGCCCCAGTTGTGTTCTCATTTGCCCTCTGAAAACACAAGTTCACCTTCTCACTATTTGGGCTGTGGTGACCAAGAGGAAAGCCAGCAGTGTGTCTGTTGAAAATGTTTGTTGCCACAGAGTTTCTTCCCTGCATTGAAAAACACAAAAGACGTAACACAGCACTGCCAAAATCACGTTCAGGGTTTTAAAGAGGATTCCTGTGCAGGCCAGAAAGACCTTTCCTCTTTTTCAATTGTATGGCCTTATAGAAATGGCCAGCAACCTTATAAGCAAAGACACCAGATTATGATTTTTCTGAGCACCACTGAGGCAAGATGCCAGATTTTATGGGCCACTAGACTGATACAATATAGCAAATCCTGTGTTCCACTGTGGATTCTGAGACCATATTATCAATTAATGTGAAGCATTAAAAAATCCAAATCCCTTTTAGTTCCCTGCAGTCATTAGTGACAAGATACACTATCTATAGCTCAAATGCTTTGCCAGCATCCCCTGGCAGCAAGGCAGAAACTCCACTCCTATTTTTTCCAATACATACAAGCAAAACATATGAGATCAGTGGTTTTTACAGTCAGATTCGGCTGCCTCTTCATATTTACTTAGACGGAGGAATAAATCAGGTTTGGGTTACTCTCTGGGTTAGTTATTTGTTATTGGAATAAATGCATGGTAATAGATCTGACAGAGGAAGATGTTTCTCTTTCAGCTCTGTGTTAGAGGCAGAATTTGCTTTGTTCTGCACTATATTACATTGATGGTTTTTTCCACTGCTGGATGACTTCATTTGCTCTGCTTCTTTCCAATGTCCATACCTCTGCCACAGCTGCCTGTAGGATGTGGCTTCATGTGATAGATCGGTCTTTTCTTTTTCCCTAACTGTAACAATGTAATGCAGAGGCAATTTAAACAACCATCATGAAACAATTTTCTAAGCCTTCCCCCCCACCCATTTCCTACCTCAACTTTTTGGGAAGGGAGGTGAGCCAGTCAATCACGCAGCAATCCCCCAAGCAGAATGAGCTGTCAGCTACATTCAGCAGCTCAATTTTCACCTCTGGTGTGGGGTGGGAAGGCACCCGGGGTGATGACTAGCTGGACACACCCTGAGGCTGTATTTTTGGTATTCCCAGGGCAGCTGTCAGCCTGAGCTCCTAAGTAGCACAGCCAGAAGTCTCCCCCCAAACAACCATGCTCACCAACTGCCCTTTCATCTTGGGACTTAGTCTCCTTTTTGTCCCGGTGGGAATACAAACACCTTACCAGAAAGTCAGTAGACCTTAGGCTCATCATTCACTTTTAATTTGCACACTGAGATACCTACCCCTTTTCCTCCCTTCCGTTCCCCAAATCTTTCCTGCCTTGATACACTGGAAAACATAGTGCTGTATTTTCTGCTCCATTGTTTTGCTTCCCTTGTCCCCTGCTAGGGTTCAGTTTTGCAGGCACTGGCAGGTTTGCAGCTAATCGGAAGCTGTGGGATGAGGTTTTTTCTTCCTTCCCAACCTGCAACAGTATTGATGGGACAAAGACTTTTGGGGAAGCGTAGGGTGATGTATCAGGATCTTCGCTGGGACATTTGGCCAACAGTGCCATTAACTTTGGATAACCTGAACTTACTTGAGTAAGGACATCAGGCCTGGGTCTTGTTCTGCTGGCAGAAGCAGATGGGTCCCTGCACTGTGCCCAGGAAGGCTAGTGATGGACGAGGAGCAGGATGGTTAAGTACCTGATACGGAGGAACTGCTCAAGCCTCCTAAAATTTCTCCTGTCAGAGAGGGACTCTGGGTCCCCTGAGGGATGTAGTTCACAGTCCACGAAGAAGATTCAGGAGGCCAGAGCACCCTGTGACTCTCACCCAGTACCAGTGCTGGCTCCTCACCCTCCCTCTAAACTGGTGCAGGTGATGGTGTGGGGTGCAAGATGGTGGTGACCAGGGCCAGGGGGTCCCACCTGCCCCGTGCCCTCACAGGAAGGGTTGTGCAGTGTTAGGATATTGTAGCCAGTGAAAGACATACGGTTCGGTTAAAGACATACCCTTTCCCTTCTTGTCCCCTTGCTTCATCTTCCCCATCCCTCCCTCCCTCTCTCACCCTTCCCTTCTCTTTTGTTTGTCTCCTTCCCTTGTTTTCACCCATTCACTGTCAGGAAGGGCCGCGTCCGAAGGGCCAGTTCAGCACAGCGTGGCAGCGACAGAGACTGGCACCGCCGGCAGCTGCAACAGTGAGTGGATCTCGACCCCTGGGGCAGCTGGAAGCGGGGGACTGGTGCCGCTTGAGCATGAAGTGACACATGGGGTTGAGTGGCTTTGGGACTAGGTTGGGTCTAGTGCATTTGGCAGCGAAGGGGCTCTCGTGTGTGATGGGAACTGGACATGTTTCTACTATAGCAACTCTCTGGGGCTTGTCTGTATGGTGAGATAATATGTGATGAATGCAAAGTACTCAGTGCAATCTTCCTCCACGGGTGTTCAGGCTGTGTCTGCACTAGTGGACAGCGTGGACCATCATCTGGCTCTGACGGCAGCGAGTGCAGCACCGTTTGTCTCCGTACAGCTAAACCACTCTGCACCTCCAAGCAGGGTGGCATTTGCACTGCTTACTGGGAACTGTCCCTGACTTGTGTTGTCCTCCCAGCAGTTGCTTAACACTGTCAAATTGGCATGGACTAAAACCAGACTATATGAACAGCTGGAACATCACATGCCTGCCCTGATGCCTTTTGTTTGCTAGTCTAGACACAGCCTCGGTATCTGAACAGTTGGGTGAGTGGATGTCAACCATCACTGCCCCGCTGCTGCTCCTGTCCCTTGCCCAGAGGAGTGGCAGTGAGAGATCGGTGTGGGTTTGATGCTCTGGCAGTGCAAAGGAGTTTGGGTTTGCCAAGGTGGCAGCTGATGGGAGCTGCGCAAGGTGGCTGAGGGCTGGTAACATCTCTGTTCACCTTGCCCTCCCTCCCATGGTGGCAAGCCACCATTGCGTTGTGCTCACTGCATGCTGGAGCCTCTGCGTAGGGATGCTCAGCCCAGAGGGTCCCAGCATCCTAGAAGCCACTGTCAGCAAGCTGCAAGGCTACTGGAGGTGAGCTACAGAAGCCTGTGAGAGGAGCCAAGATTGAACTTTATTCTTCATGGTTTTGCTGCTGGCACACAAGGAAGTGCTCTGTTGATCCAGAAAGCTGGGGAGCCTTTGTTTGAGTCCATTTTGGAAGCGGATTGAGCTAATCCACGCAAAGACACTGTCTGTGCAGAGCAATTATGACCCATCATAAGTTAAGGTAGGAAAGTGATGGCTTCCACACTTTATTTCTCAATAGATTCCCTGTGCCAGCAAGTCCAGCGAGATGGGCATAAATATTTGTGAAGTAGCCGTGATCAGGACAAATTACTGGGGTCCAATTACCCAAACCTCCCTGTGATTTTGCTAGGTGAGTTGTATGCTCCTGGCCAGGTGATGAAGGACTAGCTGTTCCACCATCCATCTTCCTCCCAGTGTCACCACCACTCCTCCTGCCCTGGGAGTGACTGGGATTAAGAGAATGCCTACGTGGTGTTAAGCAGCTGAGTGGATCTCACAAAGCCCTCCTGGGATCCGTGACGGAGCAGGGCTCTGGCAGCTCCTGACTGTTGCCAGAAGCACATGGGAGTGTGAGTTTAGACATCGCTGATTTTACAGGGGATATGTCAGCAGATAAGAAGACGTGCCACCGAAAGGTGATTTTATTACGTTTATGCCTTTCTGAGTCAAAATTGAATTGCAGGGTGTGGATGGGAATTTAGCTCTAAACACTGATGTAATTTTGTATCCTCAGCCCTGAAGGCAGTTTTTTAAAAATTATTTTCCCCTGTGCCCTGACATTATTTTTTTGCCTTTCAGTCATGTCCTTATGACAGAACAAATACTGGGGTTGACCTTTGCAATGTGACATAATAATATGTGACTTCTTTATAGCTCTTTTCATCCAAAATCCTTGGCACACTATGAATCTGATCCTGTAACTGCTTACCACTGGGCTTAGCACTCACTGCTCTGAGCAATCCCTGGGGAAGCCAGAGGAGCACTCTGTGCCGAAGTGCTATACCCGGTATTATCTGCAGGATCAGGTCCTGGAGAAATGTAGCACTTGTCTGTGAATAGCCACATTTTGGAGAAAGCAAGCCTTGCCCTCTCATTTATGATTTTTATTCGCTGTCAGAGTGCCATGCCCAGAACTAACATGACAACCTCCTCTTGGCTAAAATGTCATGACAGGTGATGCTTGGGTCATATTTATAGCTATCACCCACAACCTTGTTACTCACTTTTTATTATTTTTTTCCCAGCCCTGAAAGCATGGTAATTAAACTCCCTTAGCTTATCTTGCACTATTTGATCCTGCAGAAATCACAGCATTTTATCTTATTAACAAGTAGGAATTAAAGAATTAAAACTACTCAGAGGGAAAAAGGAACATAACCACTCTCCCCATGCATTTCTTGTGAAACAACTGTGCACTGTGCCCTCAGAGACCCCAGGCTGAGCCCCCGTGGCTTGACACAGGACGGGAATCCCAGACCAGTGAATGCTTGGGCTGAAAAATACTTTCTACTTTGCAATTCCAGTTCTGAAAGGGAGAGCCCAGTTAGGTGCATGGAGAAGTAGAGTCCAGCAGTGAGACCCCAGACTTGGACTGGGCTGCGGGTCCCTTCCATGCTACTGATGTCCTCTGTTGCCGTATGAAAGTCAGTTAGTTCTGTGCCTTGGTTTCCCATTGTTATAAAGTGATCCCTGTTCATCTTCTCCAAGGAGATTCACATGAAAAAAAGATTGCAAGGGATACCGTCATTATGGTGTTGGGAGACAGGTAAGTACATTAGAAATATATAGCGACCCTGTGAGCTGAGACATTTGTGGTATTGGTTCAAGGAGAGTGAATTTTGGAAGTCCTCAATAGCTGGAAAATGCAAAGAGAGAAGCAGGTAGCATCCTTGCGCCCACCTCTTCTTGGCATGTTCAGGATGGGGGGAACCAGGAGAGAGACCTGCTCCACCTTCTTGGTGATGGGAAGAGGTTAAATATGGGGATGGAGACCCACTAACCATCAGTAGGTATCTACACACTTTGCTGTTGTTTACCATCACTAGAGTACTGCATCTACCCCCACTCTTAAAAAATAAATTCATTAGGAGTAGAGAGGGGTGGAAGGGATTCCCCGGATCATCAAATCCAATCCCCTGTTGCATCAATCACATCAGATTTATCCTTTTCATAATCAAGCACCACTATTAAATGTGCTCCTAAGGGAAGACAGTCCCGGAATCTCATTGCTTTAACTCGTAGATGCTGCTAATTTCCAGACTATGCTTAGTCATGGCCCGTTTGTTAAGCAGCAGGTACCTGGCACAGAAGCAAGAAACTTAAAACAGTTTTCTTAAAATAACCACCCAGAAATCCAATCCACAGAAAAATGCTGAGGTTGCAAAGGGGAACGTGCAAGGTCATGTAATGATAACAGGGAGGCGAGCTCACACTTGCCTCTGCCTTGTAGTACAGACTTTGCATAATAACCTGCCATTTAATCGTGTATGATCCAGTTGACTTACAAGGCAAAAGTACTCACAGAACAAAGGAACTTCTTTGCTATTCTTCTCCATAATACTCATTGTGTAACCCTCTGTCTCTTTTGCTGGGTATAACTAACCCTGAGCTACACATTTGACTATTTTTTCCTTTATTGGCAGGCTTTTCCATGCCATTTATTGCTTTACTGTACAAGGCATTACCTGAGCAGCATCTTTGAGAAGTCAATGGGTTGCATTGCCCCATTTTACAGGTTAGGAAACGATGCACAGAGCCATCAGCCATATCAACCCACAGAGCTGCAAGGGCAACTTTCCTCCTCTGAAATGCCCCTGCTTTACTCACTGCAGTCTTCTTCACTCCAAACCATGCAATTGCTACCCAGCCAGAGGAAAGGGGCTGGTGCAGCACTCTGCCTTGGGGCACACAGTGTACGTTGCATGCCATGGAAGTGACGGGATGGCTTAGGCCCCTGACTTGCTGGCTTTACAGTCTTGTTCAGTTAGTCAATCAGCGTATGATTGATGAGGGGTAGAAAGAAATACACGAGTATAGGCAGAGGTGCAAAAATGCTGAGTTACTCATTGTAGCACCCATTAGTTGTGACCTAGCCCACAGAGGGCAATGGCACATGGAATCATACACGTTTAGATCGAGTCGCAGCCGTGCAGCATAACCAGCCGGAGTGACTGAGGAGCAGGGCTCACTTGACAAAAACAGGTTTGCAACTAGGACGCCACAATCCCATGTTTGCTTA